GGGCGAGTACCTGTTTGCGTGTGGCTGCTGTAATGCAGGATCAGAAAGCCGATGGTTAGGGTCTGCAGCATCAGGAACAAGGCCTCCCCCCAGGAGCTGTGGAGAGAGACAGAGAGGAGAGGGACTGAGTCTGTGTCACCGTCGCTACCAGTGCCACCGTGTGGGTTCGTATGGGCCATGGAGCGGGCACTCCCGCTGCCCGTTTGGCTGGCGCGGATCATTCCTGCCTTGCGGATGGTCCCTCACCAACATGCGTTCCTCCTCACAGTGCAGCGCCTGGGGCTTGGCCGTGCACAAACCGTTCTGTTCCCTCACCCAGGTCCCCGCACATCAACTAAGTGCCGCTCAGTCAACGCCCCAGCTACCAGGCTTACCCCCTCCGTCCTCCTTCAACAGGCGGCTGGAACGCAGAGCTGTCGCTGTCAGACAGTCCCGAATAAATCCCGTTGGGAACGTGGGACCCGTTCCCACAGGGAGGGGTGGGGGGGAGAGCGGGGAAACGTGGAACTTGTATTGAGCAGATGGGCCAAATGGCCGGTTTGAGATGTTGGAAAACTGACAGGATTCCAACGGAAAGGTTAAACGTACCTGAAAGGGAAATGGTTCCTGATCCCATAAACCATGGTGCCAGAGATAGCCAGCATTTCCAGGAGGATCGAGGTAAAACTCAGGCCCTCTGTGCTCCGTGCCCTCACAATCTTCAGTATTTGAGGTAGTTTGACTGGAAAGAGAACACAGTGAGCTCACTCAGAAACAACAGCCAGCAGGGAAAGCCCAGGACTGATCCGCCCCCTCTCCACATTCCCGCTCGGATCCTCTCACCGAACCAGCAACATTCCCCAACGGGGAAAAGCCGGCTTTGGGAGGGTGAGCGACATCCACCGCAAACTGCATTTATATAGCAGCACCTGGCATTCGGCAAAACCTCCTCAAAAGCCTCGTGGTGGCGTTGTCAGATACAGAAGGGTGAGACTCAACCAGATACGAGGGAGGGGTAAGCTATCCACCGACAGCGAGGTCAGATTTAAATTTAAAGGAGGGAGGGGGTTCCAGAGCTCGGGGCCCAGGCAGCTGAAGGTACGGCCCCCAATGGGGGAGCGATACGAATCAGGGGGATGGTCAAGGGGTTGGAATTGGAGGGGGTTACAGAGATAGGGAGAGGGTGTAGGGGCTGGAGGAGGTGACAGAGATAGGGAGGGGGTGTAGGGGACTGGACGAGGTGACAGAGAT